TTCTCTCTGCCAGTTTAAAAGATCAGCACTGACTTTTTTTTTCCAGAGTTGATATGTTAGTTTATTGTCTCTTCTGAGGGAGTATTGATATCAATTCATTTGAGGGTCTTCCCTTAAGGTGCATGAATTAACTCCCAATCACAGGTGATGCCCAGGATGTTCTTTCACCTGTTTGTTTTATTTTTGTTTTTTTTACATTTCAGTTCAGAAATGAGAAAATAAGATGCCCATAATTTTGGACAGAGATGACCCCTGCATGTGGTCCAAAGCTAAACAGATAACCACACATATATCATATCGTAGTGTTTGAGAAATGATGATAAATTGAAAACCAAATAGAGAATTTAGAATCCAACATATCAATCATATCAATGCATATCAATTCAGCAACCATTAACATCCCAATAACATTTTGCTTTCCGATCTGTAAGGTCCTTAGAAAACATCTGGAATAAAGGATCTTTTCACAGTATTTGTAGAATCATGTGAGAAGAAATAAGTTTGGGTAAATTACAGGGTGTTGCTGAGCCCTAATATCTTCCTTGAGGGAGGGGCTGAAAAGGCATGACATCAATGAACACAGACACCAGGTGTCAGATAGAAGGCTTACAGCAGACTCATTTATTTAAGAACAGAAAATATATATATACCCTCCTAGCACCCAGGCATTCTGATCCATTGACAGTTGACACTTCATGCTCATCCCTCATTGGCTATGGCTACAAATGATCAGGATCTCTGGCAGTGTCTGTTTCTAGGTACTCAGGTAACGCTGCTTGGTCGTTCCTTATTGGCTAGGCACAGTTAGGACCTCTGACAGCACCAGGCAGACTCCAGGTTGGCTCCTTTTGGCCTTCTCTTCCTACAATGTGGGAGGAGAAAAATACATTATAAATAAAATGATGAGAGCCTTTTTTCTCTCATGACAGATGATTACTGGGAATCATTCTGAATTAACATTAACCTGTTTGTAGTATTTTGGAATTTGTTATTATATACACCCTTAAATTATTTGTTCTTATGACAACACAGTATTTAACACATCAGGGTCGCTTGATATTCATAGGTCAGCAAATATTTGTCTGTGGTTACCAGTGTTTGAGAAACTATGAAAATCATTCATTTTATTAACATCATCATCATCTGAGAGATTGTGAAATTATCATTTACCTAGCAGCAAATCAGGCTCTACACAAAGAGTATTATCCATCACTAGGAGTCTAAATATTTAAAGAAACATGTAAATGTATACTTCAGAGGGTGATAACATAACTTCAATCTTTATGTCTAACACGACTGAGTAATGATGGTGAGAGTTGACCCTTTTGCCTTAAGAAGGGGACTAAATACGGTTTCTGATCCTGAATAAGCAAATTTGGTCTTATTTTATATTCCAAAGATTGGAAATTGAGGTCCTGTAATTTAGTAATTGTTTTAGTTCTCATTAGGATCTTACTAAATAGAACATATCCTGCTATGGGAGTTCCTTCAGCCAATCGCCGCTGAGTTACCAGCCCATTGGGGCATGGTCTCTCCCTTTAAAAAAAGCAGCGGCTGTCCTCCACTCTCTCTTTGTCTTCCGGCTCCGTTTCCGGCCCCTGGACTCCTTTCCTGTTCGCGCGGAGGGGCTGTTGTCTGGGACGGTAATCTGTAAGTTTTTTCCCCTTTGAATAAATAACCATTATATTAATCATAATTCCAAACTGGTGTGGGATTGTCTATGACTTACGCCTTCATCTGGCGCCCCACGTTTGGTTGTAGAACCCCCCCTTCCCCCCCACTCAACTGCTTGCTACCAGCTCGGCTAGTCACGAGACCTCCCTCAGCAGGTCCATCCTCTGGTTCCCTCGGGAAACCATAGCCCTGAGGTCCACTCAGTGCCTCATATCCCCTTTGATTCCCTTCACATATCAGACCTATAAGGCTGAAATTTGGTGCTGTGTATATGAGAATGTGAACCCCACAGAAACTCAACAGGACATGTGCTTACTGTCTGGTGGGTCAATGGGAAAGGGAGAGATAAAGCATCAGTACAGGAATGGGGAGAGAAATGGGAGGGTGTGCAGAGATAGAGGAGTCAAGAAAAAGAGAACGGGGAAGGGCTGCTGCAAGTGACGGTGGGAGCAAAAAGTTGTATTACACATGGGGTTCATAGAAACATTAAAGCCTTTTTATATGACCCAAGTATCCAATTTTACTATATTTTGCCCCAAAGTAATGTTTTAAATCAATCCTGTTTTATTATGAAAGTAACATGTCATAATCATGGAAAAATATGTGTCTAGCTCATAAGATGCAGTCATAAATGCATGCTTAGTATAAGAGCCAAATATATAGTTTTATGGTGTTGGGAATCTGTTGCTATAATTTCCCTCAATCTGCTCATCTAAAAAGTAAACTAATAATATTACAGCTTAGCATTAGATAAGTGCTTATTACATGCCAGATGCTCCTCTTCAGACCTATGTATGTAGATGCTGAGTTCTTCCAGGAACTCTGTGGGATAATACTGTCATTGGTGTCATAGTGCAGACTGGGCAACTGAGGGCAAGGGAGATGAGCTCACTTACTAAAGCCATATTCTGCTTTCATGGAAATGTCTTTCCAGTGGCCATCACCTGCTTTCAGTGGCCTTTATTATGCCCTCATTTTTCTTCCTTAGTCACTCTCAACTTGCTCTTTTCCTCAACATGAGAACGTGCTTCTGATGACAACACTGGCCTGAGACCCAGGAGAAGTCACAGGAGAGATACTGGCTGAGCCTTGAAGTCACAGGAGAGGCACAACCACCACATTTGTTATTGGCACAAAGCTATTTTTTGAACTGTCTTTAAAATTATTTTTCCTTTACTTAAAATTACCAGATTTTTTCCAGAATTTTGTGCCAGACTCATGATGCCAAATAAGAAAGAAAAAAAGTGGTAAGAGCTCAGTGTTAGCCAAGGAGATGACGGTCAGAGCTGGGGTTCACAAGCAGCCTGCCCTGTCGGAGTGCAGCTCTTTGCAACTTTGACACATTTCTTAATTTGCTGGTGTCTCAGTTACCTCAGCCATTAAAGGTGGGAATAATAATGCTTACGTTGAAGACTGGATATATACAAGACAACAGATAGATAGATAGATAGATAGATAGATAGATAGATAGATAGATAGATAGATAGATAGAGATAGAAAGATAGATAGATATATAGCAAAGCAACTTTATATAATGAATTATTGTTTAAATTTCATATTCTAGTTAATTTATGTAATGGTAAAAAATCTTCTAAGATTTTGAATATTAGGATTTAGAGGAGGATCACTGAATACTAAGAGTCAAGCAAAGAGCAAATGATGATGATGGAAAAATTAATGGAGATCCAAGGTCAAGTTCTGATTTTAGGACCTACCATTGAAGAGAGAGGGAGGAGGGAGGAAGAGAAGAAGAAAGGAAAGAGAGAAGGCTAGAGAGAAAAGCAGAAGAAGGAAAGGGGAGAGGGATGGAGAAGGAATAAGAGGAGGGGGAAGGAATATCAGAGGAAGAAAGGAAACTAAAGAGTGTGAAGGGTTTTATGAGAATTTTATCTAGAATTCTGTAAGTTCATATCACCCACTTATTCTGATAGAAAACCATATCTGTATTTTACTAACAAATTCTTAAAGTTAAAACAAGCAAACTAAAAGCCTCAATTAAGTCATTTAATAGGAAGACACTTAAAACATAGCAGCAAGGGGTGATCGTAACACAGAGAAGGCCTGCTAATATAAAGATTATGAGCCAGTGTTTTAGAATATCTGTCCATCTTGAGAATTAGCTAATGACTCAAAAATATCAATCCCGTCATACACTAGCATGCACTTACCTGTAGCCCCTAATGGGGGATGATCTTCAAATGCCTGAGCCGCCAGCAAAACTGCAGAATCTTAAACCCTTCCTAGATGATTTTATGTGGTTGATTGACTTTTGGTTGCATTATCATTACATTGGAAATCAAATTCCACTATTTGTGAACTCAGAAAGCTGGTATTCCCGAGGCACATATCTTATTAGAATTTAGAGAAAATGATGCCTGGTGGTGGCAGACTGGAATCTTCATGCGCTGCAGTTTTCCCTGTAGAAAGTAAGAAAACTCTTCAAGTGTCATTTTGCCCCCACCTGTTATGCTTCTAAAAATCTTTTTCATTTAAAACAGATTTTGTGAATTGTACTTGGAGGTTCGTGCATAGACTTTATGAAAATGTCTGCGTTGCCAACTGAGTTGCTCATCCATGTAAAATTCCATACAGAATATGAGAGAGGTTTGGAAAGGCAGACAGTTTGGGGCAATAGCAGTGTCAGTGTGGAGAGACAGAGAGCCGAGGTTAAATTATTGTAAATCAAACAGAATCTGAGATTTTCTCACAGTTTGGGTGGATATAAGTGACTAATCAAAGAGGGCTTCATGAGAAGGGTTAGTCAGGATATTCATATCCCCATCACTCATGTGAAAAGATAAGCCTGGGCTTGTAGTCCTGACATACCCAGACAGTCTAGCCAACTAGCCTGCTTCAGTTAACATTTTCTCGAAAGCAGTGCTGAGAGCAATTAAAGAAGTTACCCAACATTGACCTGCCCCCACATCTATAAGTATACAAGATCATATACATCTACATACATTTATGCACACACAAACATATACACACATACCTCAAAGGCTACTAGTTGTGTTTATTAAACTAGAAATTGATATTCTACTATAAGGGCTACTGATGTAGCTAAACAGTGGAGTGCTTGCCTAACACGCACAAGTTTTGGGTTCGATTGCCAGCACCACTGAAAACATTAAATTTATTTTAGCCATTAATATTAAGGGTTTTATTGCTTAAATAACTTCAGAGATAAGTTGTTTGGACACACACAAACCTAAACTAATATGATAAATATTCAGTGTTAATTGCTTGCATACCCAAATTTTCCACAAAAGAAAATTGAGTTTAAGGGCACACACATGACGGACCTGCCAACTGGAATCTTCTTTCAGCCTCTACAGACGACAGTGCAGCTGAGAAGAAAGGAGGAAGCCTCCATGCGGGCCTCATTGTTGGAATCCTGATCCTGATCCTCATTATAGCAGCAGCCATTCTGGTGACCGTTTATATGTATCATCACCCAACATCAGCAGCCAGCATCTTCTTCATTGAGGTGAGTACCAGATCCGGCCATGAGAGCCGTGCTGGTGGATGGGTTGTGTGAACTAGCAAACACCACCTGGATTTAATGTTTGGCACATGATTTGTCAGTGTCAGGCTGGCTGATGTCACACACATGGCACCCACTCACGTCCACACTGATATATTACTTGCAGATGATGAGGTCAGACCTCTTATCTCTGAAGCTCTTAAACAAACAAGCCATCTTCCCTTTAGAGACCTAAGGGAAAATAAAAACCACACTTTCCAATCCTCCTATACCAAATATGTTAACCAGCTGTTCTGCCCTGGGAGAAATCCAGCCTATCCTGGAAACAGAAGGACTCGAATAAATTGATAAATAAATATTCATTGAAAATTGGCTGTGTAAACAACACAATAAAGTAGGTCTGTTCTCAAAATGCTTGTAAAATATAGAGAAAATACAGCTTCCACTGCAAAATGATAGATATAAAAAGGAGCTACAATGTGATACTCCCATTGCGTATAACATGTATATATTCATTTCTGCATAAATGTACACTCATATATTTGCAGTAAGATTGATTGGATGCTATTCTGTCCTATACAAAATTTAGGTTTAACTCCAATGCCAGAAGAAACATGGAGTATGTACAGGGGCCATGGCCAAACATGGGAGTCTAGAAGGCTGGACCAGGGGAGCCTCAAAAGCACTAAGTAGTCAGTCCCTCGTAGTTGCAACTTCTGTGGTAGGATCTTAGACAGGGATTCCTCTTCCCACAGTGGACAATACTGAAGTGCTAGAAGGACAAAGAGAACCTGCTTTGCAGATTTCCAGACATGTGAGGGTTGAATTTGAATTCATTGCACAATATGTGGGGGATCAGTTTGTAATCTCATTCTCTCGTCGAGTGAGAAATTATAATGCTTTTACAACAACAGGATGAGAATTACCAATGGCCCCTATAGTAGGAATGGCTGAGTGTAGATCAATTAGATAATTGTGTCAAAGTCCCAAATGGCTCTCTTTTATCTATAGAATAAAGTGTGGTCTCCTTCTGTGGCTATTCAAAGCATTTGAGATCCAGATTTTATCCATTGTGTTCATCTTTCTGCCATGGCTCTCGAGTGGGAATTACCATATTTTATTCTTGTCTTCTCCAGATACACCCTGAATGCCCCAAACCCTATCCCTGAAAAAAAAAAGCATTCATTCTGTTTCTTCCATCAACAAATCTGTCTCCTTCCACCTTGGTTCTTACCTTTGGGTGTCCAGCAGCCTTCAGTGACATGCACCATATAATCTTTCTTCATGCATCTCCCAGACAGAACATGTGGATTTGATTCTTCTCTCACTCCTGTCTTTGACATTTATCTTTCTGGTTTGCATTAGCACTCAATCTGTGTGTGATTATTATACCCTACAAGACTCATAAATTCCTTAAAATCTAAGTTAAGTAACTGAAGTCTTTTTTCAAAGAACAGGCATGTTATCAATATTTCCTTGGAAAAAATGCATAGTAAATATCTATGGACATTTCAAAGTTAGAGTGAAATTTCATTTAAGGCAGACTCCAGATGTGGTATCCTCATTTCACCCCACAGTCATTAGGCGTGCCTGGTGCTTAGTTGGAAAGCTGGTCAGTTGCTTTAATATGTCTCATTTTCCTAGAAGAATGTGGGCCTCTTACCCGAGGTTATGAATGCATTCCTTAAAGAGATGACAAGTGACGAGCTGCAAGTCTCAGCTGAACAGCCAGGCATCAGGCCACTGCAACCTGAAGCCGACACGTGTTTGGATCCTTTAGTACACTGCAGTTTGTTTCTGATGTTGTGACAAAGCAGATGCCATGAAGTAGCTGATGCTGAGGGCGTTAGCAACATGCTTCACGGGATCACTGCGAGGAACGTGGTTGAAGCTCACTCATGGCAACACCTGTATGGTGGCAAAATGAGACAGTAAAACCCAAGAGAAGATATTTTTTTTTTTATTTGTCTATTTGAATTAGTCTCCTTGGTTAATATCCAGAGGCTATAATCCTTATTGTGTATGTAATGTTCTATAGTCACACATTTACAGACTATTAGGGATATGGGGAATATTATGGTGAGTTTAATCCTACACCCTCATATCTAACAGAGAAAGAATGAGGCTTAAGAAGGTGGAATGACTTTTCCAAGAACAAACAGCCAGAGTTTCAGGAATCACTCATTTTTCCATAGAAAATGGAAGACGAATCAGTCTGCAGGCTTTTTTGTTGAACTGATTGCCAGACTCTGTTAAAACCATTTTCTCCAAATCACCTGCTGTTCTGGTCATGTAGTTCACAGTAGCTGCACGGTGATTGTTTGTAGCAGTATCGTTATTAAAGATAACCACTGCTTTTTAAACCAAGCCACCCATGAGCTATGGCGACTGTCTGCCTCTGCTTTCTTTCGCCTATAATTCTGTTCTGTCTACTCCACCCACCTAAGGGCTGGTCTATCAAAAAGGCCAAGGCAGTCTCTTTATTAACCAATAAAAGTAACATATAGACTTATGACCCTCCTCCATCACCACAAAACTTGGAACATACAGACCTGTGTTTCTGAAAATGTTTAATTATTTATTAGATTGGTATTTTTGCACCTGTGATTGAATATAGTGATACTGCTTATATTACATTTTATGTTTCATTGTAAAATGCTGTTCCTTTATATAAAAAAATGTTGACGTGCTTTGCCATCATGAAAGTGATACTACTTGCAGAAAATTAGGACAGTGGGAAGACAAAAAAAGAAAACCATTTATAATGGCAGGATACAGAAATAATGTCATTAATATTTTAATCAACCTTTTTGGAAGTCTTCGTTATATGACTTAATATTTAACCACTTAATGACATTGTAACTTTACTGCAATGTAAATTGATCCTCTGGTGTAATGTCATCTTTCTATTTTATTATTACCTCTTTGGAGAGCTATCAACTATCCCTTTTAAAGGCCACTCAGTAGCTATCTATGTATGGATTGAGTTATGCACCAAAAAGACACAGAAAGCAGAAGAGCCTCATACAAACCTCGAAATAAAAAAAATCAAAATAAAGCTTCATTTCATGATTTAAGATGTCATGTACTAACATGTAGATACTGTAGAGACTGAAACTCATGACCATGAACCTAGTGGGCTAAGGCAGCACAGAGATTATCTCACAGAGCAGAAGGTCAGAACTTCAAAGTTAGCCTCACCACATCAAGGTATTGTCAGGGTTAGGACGTCCTAATTCTCCCCGCTACCTTTAACCTCTAGAGCCTGTCTGTTTTCCTTGGCTCCTGACCTCTCTTTCTATCATCCCATGGTCTGTTTCAGCCATCTCAGCTAACTCTGACCTTGTTGCCTCCCTTAAAGCTTTTGGTGATTCCATTTGACCCACTTGACTAGAACAACCTCTCCAACCCATGATGTGCAGTGTGCCTTGGGCCATACAAAGAAGTTAGCTCTGATGGGATTTCCAGTTCACAGCATCTTTAGGGACCATTAGTCTGTCAACCAGAGATTTCATTAAATAAGTTTCACACTAACAATTAAATTGTGACACATTGTTGTCAGTGATTATAGTAAAATAGATTTATTTTTAGTGATTTATTCAAAGTTCAACGATGTCCAAAGTATCACCTAATATATATTGCTGTATATTGTATAGTGAAACCTCAACTTCAGTAAATAGGTTTCTTCCTGCATCATAGACTGAATGTAGCGACTGGGTGCATGAGCCAAAACACATACAACTAATCTCCCACTTTAGAACACCTCCCCCCAGACCACTCTATCATTCATCCCTTTTGTAATTAGTCCTTTCTTGAGCATACATGATGAGGAATGAGAATCCCCCCGCCAATTGCCTTGTTTAGTCCTAATGAAGGAATATGGCCTAGGATGCTATTCATCTTAGACATAAGGAAACTGACGCATGAACCTTAAATAATCTGCTTAACATCCCTCAGTCACTCTGTGAGTGAGAAATTGAGTGCAGATGCCCCAACTTCAGAAGTCAAACCTTTAACCACTGGTAAGTGCTGCTTACTGCTCCTCTCTGCTAACGATTTTTCTTCATTGGCTGTAAGTAAAAATGTAGTGTGATGTGTATGTTAAGACATACATTATGTCCATACAAGAGATTCATCAAAGTAGAATAATCAAAAAGAATTAAACAATTTAAAGAATTAATTAATTATGCCAAAACCATTGCCCAAATGTGCGTCTAGTCCTGTAGTCATTATTTTTATTATTTTCCCAATTTTAATAATGATAATAAGGACTTAGCACGTTACCTATGTGTTTTATTTTCACAGAAAATATGTACCAGGCTTTACACATTCTGTGGGCACAGACATGCATCATTACATGATGTTTACTTGGATTAGTCTTTAAACTTCTTGTTTGTAGGAAGGAAATAAGGTGATAAAGCAAGCCATCACTCCATAAATAGTGGTCAGACAAGCAAATCCATGGGTTTCCATCTATGTCTTCACACACAGGAACCCCATCCTTCTCTTCAGCCTGGAGCATAGCCTCTTCCTCATTAACGTCTCAGGGACAATCCTCCATCACCCTCTGCAGATTTGAGAGCGAGCATTTTCTTTGAGTTTTTTATTGGTTAGCTTATACTTTATCTGTCTGGCTTTATTGTTATTTTCTGAAACATCTTGATTTTGATCAAAATCTGTCATATCTACATGTACTTTAACATCATTTTAAATGCAGTGTATTGTTTTCAAACATACTGACAGAGACAAATACATAACAATGCACTTTAAATTTTTTCACAAATTTTGATAAACTGAAACCTTTTTGTAATGAGCCAGTTGTCCAAGGTTCCTCCTTAAATTTAATTATTGCTGAATATTTCCAGGCATAAATTATGATAATTTTCACTAAAAATAAAGAATAGAAAAGATTGATAAGAGTAATGTATAAAATTAAAGTCAAGGTTGGACAAATAAAACTTCATTATAAAACAAAAATTATGCAAAGTAGAGATTTCTTATAG